CACACAAATACACACACATACACACACACACATATATATATATACATATATACACACATGCACACACATATATATATACACACACACACACACATATATACACATATATATATATACACACATACATATATACACATATACACATACAAATACATACATATATACACACATACATACATATACACACACACGCACATATATATATACATATATACACACATGCACCCACATACATATATACACACATACATATATATATATATATACGCACGCACACACACACACACACATATATACACACACACACACACACACACACATATATAGATACACACATACACATACATATGTACACATATACACATACACATACATACATATATATTCCCACATGCATACAGACATATATATATTCATATACACATATACACACATACACACACACACACACACGCATACATGTACATATACATATATATATGTATGGCATTCAGTTTTGTTCGGGTATTTTCCCACGTCATTGTAGTTGTGCTTTTTTTTTTTTTTTTTGGAAAACAATTTTATTGTTTTTTTAAAAAACAAACAAAATGTGGTTGTGCTTTTAAAGTTGTAGCAACGTTTCGGCAGGATCTCATCTGCCATCCTCGGGCTTCTGCATTGGGTCCGTCTGTGAGTCAGACTTTTACGGTACTTTTTTACAGACTTTTACATACACGCACACACACACATATATTTATATAAAACTCTGTAGCAACTGGACCCTGTTGTTCCCCGGCTTTCCCAGGAAGTTGGGGGCTGCGTCAGGGTCTCCTGGGGGGGTGGGGGGGTTGATTTCCTGCCTCCCCCCTTCCCCGGGTCCTCGAGTGCAGCCTGAAAATCCAGCCCAGCATCCGGTGGTTACGGCTGGGAGCCAGAAGGCCATCCCACTCCTTCCTCTGCTCCGTTTGCTATTTTCCCTCCCCTCTTTCGGCCATTCCCAGGTGGGCCTTTTTTCCGCTGACCCTCCCTCCCCCCGGGGAAGGAACAAACAAAGGGGGCCTCTCCGCTGCCCCCCGCCCACCCACCCACGGGCCCAGCGGACATGGACTGTCCAGGAAACGGCCTTCGGTCTCCAGAGTTGGCCGCCCACCAAAATGAGTTGGTGCCGGAGGAGAAAAACAGAATAACAGAATTGGAAGGGACTTCAAAGGTCTTCTAGCCTGACCCCCTGCAGCCTGGGATCTTGAAGCCCACCCTACCCCTCTTCAAGGATGCCGGCTGGGGGATTCTGGGAGTGGAAGTCCACCCCTCTTCAAGCATGCCAGCTGGGGGATTCTGGGAGTCGAAGTCCACCCCTCTTAAAGCATGCT